AACACCCGCTGACTGCAATGATAGAGCTTGGAATAGCCAGAACAATTTTTAATATAACTCCGACTGGATTTGTCTGAAAGAAGAAAGTCATATACACCTAGGATGCCTCGAGGGTGAGTAAAACACAAGCTAATTTTAATTTTTGGGTGAACTAACCCTTTAAATAGTTTTTCACCATTTTTGTTTATGGGATTTTTTGGGTGGGCCTGAAATCATGTCTCGATGACACACTGGAACCACTGAGCAAGGCCCCTCCCCTAACACTATAAGAGGTGTGTTCGACTTGAAGCAGTGCTGCGCAGATCGAACGTTGTATGACATCAAAGTACCGTGAGAGCTATAGAAAGCACCCTCAGGCCATCCAAGATGTAGATGAGTTTGTTTCTTCATCTGGACAAAATTAGCATTACATAACTTGCTCACCAATGAATCCTCTGCAGTGGATGGGTACCGTCAGAATGAAATTTCAAAAAGCTGATAAAAACATTACAATAATCCACAAGTAATCCACACCACTCCGTTCTATCAATTAACATCTTGTGAAGTGAAAAGATGTGTGTTTATAAGAAACAAATCTATCATTAAGGCGTTTTAACTTTAAACTTCTGGCAAAAATATTATTCCATAATCCATAATAACGCTTCCTCCAGTGAAAAACGTTATCCCCTGTTGTCCTCTCACATCAAAATCCACCAACATATATGTAGAACTGTTTGGACTGTTTTTGCTTGTAAATGGTGATTGATCTCTGCATATTTCTCTTCTGATTCAGACTCCTGATTCAGATGTCTTAATGATTTCTTACAAACATGCAGCATTTTACTTCACAATACATTCATTGATGAACTGGACTTGTGTGGATTACTTGTGGATTATTGTGAGGTTTTTATCAGCTGTTAAGACTCTCATTCTGACGGCACCCATTCGCTGCATTCGCTGCATTGGTGAGCAAGTGATGTAAGGCAAAATTTCTCCAATTCTGTTCTGATGAAAACAAATTTAACAAATTTATGGACTGCCTGAGCGTCAGAAAATCTTAAACAGATTTTATTTTTGGGTGAACTTCTCCTTTAATCTGAATTGTTTACAAAATGTTCAGGCTTTTTTTTTTTGGGCATGAAAAATGAAAAGAACCAGGACAAATTTTGTCAGACTAAAGATAAAATATATGAAGTTTTTACCTTTTTTAAAACAATGATCTGATGATACTTAAATATGTTTCTCTTAGAGAAGATGCTGGGCCAGATGGAAATACTGGTGATTTGGAAGGTGCCACTCAAGGTTTGCCAATTAGGACTTCCATTCAACTCCAACCTCCATCGCCACCTGCAGTCATGGAGCTGGATAAACAAGGTATGCTCTACTAGTTTTTGGATATTATACTTACCTTTCCACATTCATATGAGTTCATTGAAACCATCCATTGGTACCGGTTTCTTAATTTTCGACCATCATTTATGTTCATTTGTTTATGTCCAACATAATACATTTTTTTTCTTGATTTTGGTCTGGATGGTCAGTGAGTTATGATTTGTTTCATTGTTGTTTTCCATCTGCCAGCATTTTTCCCATTGTGTTTGTGTTGTTTTATGTTCCGTCGCCTTTAATTTGGTTATAAGATCCAGAGGACAGCCTGAATTGTGCAGCTCAGTTTCATGGTCGGCCACGACGGAAACGCACGTCGCGCTTCCTATTAAAGCCCTGAGCTTCCAGCTCACTGACAGCCTAAAACTGACAGATACACAGGTAAAAACAGAAATATAGATGTCCCAGGAAATGGATCATTCCTGTTATGCAGCACATTTTCATGCCCATATCATACATGTCTTCATATAGTGAATGAAATATTAAACTGATATATATTATTATGCAAAAAATATTTAACTAATACAAATTTTAAAGTTTGAAATCATATTAGTTATATTTAATCATAATTAATATAGAGGTAAATTTAAAATAATTGTACTACTTTGGCTTGGGTTAATGTTGCCATTTTTGCTTTGCTCTTCAGTCATGTACATAAAAATGTGCAGTTTATTAAGAAGTATTCCCTAAAGTGTTTCAAGAAATAGTCATTTTTTTCCATTTTATATTATATAATCAAAATGTTTTAAACAACTTTTTTTTTATTTGTAATTATATTATGTTTTTCCTGTGTCCTCAGTATCCTGTTCCATCCTGTTATTCACTTTAAAACATTCCACCCTGTTAGATAAAATTACAGAAATGTGCATATCAAAATTTCACAATATGGTTAAAGAAACCTAACTTTTGCTATTTGTTTACGTCAGTGTTATATTAGTATTATTTACAGTAATTGCTATTTTAGAATTTTATAACATTTTGAAAGTTTTTTTATATTTTAAGTTTTCTTTTAATTTTTTTCTTTAAATGCTTTTGCCATTTTTATTAGTTTTATTTTAAATATTTCTATTTAGCTTTAATCTATTTCAGGTTTAGATTTAGCAGTTTTAGTACTTTAACCAACTTAAAATTAGTTATAATATAAACTTACTTAGTTGCCAAGGTAACTTTTTTTTTAATTTTCAAGTTTTTCCAACTATACTATTTATAACTTACCTCAGCCTTGTTTCAATTAACCAAAAATAATTTTCAATAGTTTTAGTTAACAATAACATCACTATTATGATATCAAAAACTCAAAAGGTAGTTATAAACTTTCAAGTCCCTAACTTTAGCTATTTGTTAACACCCTGTTCAGTTCCATCCTGTTATATTTTCATACCATTGTGAAAATAACTAAGCTGTATTTCATTAGGTTAAAGTGTCTGAACTTGACCAAAGCATATTTGTTAAATCTAGGGCTGCACGATTAATCGCATGCGATATTTAACGCGCATCTTGTCAGAAAGCCGGTTCTGTAATCAGCGGTAAATCTCCATCACCTGCGGGCTTTCACATTGAGCAGCATTAACTACACAGAGCCGTTGTTCACTGATGAGCTGCGCGAATATGAACGTGGTTTTGCGCAACTCGTCAGTGAACAACGGCTCTGTGTAGTTAATGCTGCTCAATGTGAAAGCATGCAGGTGATGGAGATTTACCGCTGATTACAGAACAGGCTTTACTGATAAGATGCGCGTTAAATATCGCATGCGATTTATCGTGCAGCCCTAACTGCCAATGAAAAATTATTCTGAACATTCATTAATCTTAGGTATTCCAATATTTAATAACACGTTGTTAAAATCGAAAGTTGCAACTGTGTTATTTAATGAGCTAACA